ATGGTAGCACCAATTTGGGTTTCAGCTATGGACAAATAATGAATCTCCAAACAAAAAAAACAAAACACTATGAAAGTATATATATATATATATATATATATATATAGTAAAATTACCAGCAATACAATTTATAGTAGACTTACCAACAATACATTTATAGCAAAATGATCATAATTACAGTATCTCTTCTGGAAGGCATGCAATTGGATTCGAAAGGAATTTAGTTGAAGGCTTAAAATTGTGTTTAAAATATTTAGATTTCGGCATTAACTAAACCAGAGAGGTTGAAATGCTACTAAACAAAATCAACCAAACAACAAACATTAAAGAACACTTTCATGATATTAAACCATATAATATCCTTCAATTTTTGAAAGAAATCAAACTGTATTCCAAAATATAACTCCAACAAAACTACAACATATAACACGCATATCTCCAGACGTTCATTCACACATACATATGCCGAAAAAGCTGAGTACCATCTACCATGTATTTAATTGTGAAAGCAGAGTATCATATATTACATTTTTATTACTTACAAAGCTTCCTAGAAAATTAATGTCCGGCAGTAAATGGCCCATAAGTTGTTGATATTCTTTTGAACAAAGAAAACAAAAAATACACAAAAAAAAAACCCACCAAAATTCAATAAACAGTTTTAAAAAGTGCAAAACGACCAAATTTGAAATTTTTATCCTACATTCAACACCATCACTTGATACCAGAATTGGTGAAACAAAATGGCTATTTTTGTAGTGATTTTATAACATATTTATGGTGTAATTTTTGAATTAATTATATTTGCTCTACTCTGTATTGGGCACTCTTTTAAGAATAGTATATTTTTGGTTATTGGAATTTATTCCGTATACACCTAATGCTATACTTGGACATATATATATATATATATATATATATATATATATATATATATATATATATATATATATATATATATTATTATTATTATTAGATGAAAGAGAATGAGAAGATGTTATCGATGAGAAGAGAGGAAAACCACGAAGGAACATACACGTCACGCCTGTTAGAAAGTGATCAGTCGAGATTCCAGGCGAGGGTCAAATGCCTGCTAGGTTTTCTTTTGACTCTTCCGCTCCAGATAAGTTAAGTCAACTGTATTCAATTCTAGACGTATGGTATCTTTGTAAATGTGCGAGAAGTATTATGACAAGACAAATTGTATAACACGACACAGTGAAGCAAAATCCTTAGCAGCAGGCCTATCTATTGATTCAATATAATCGTTGCACTTCATATCAGTGGAAAACGTAAGAGCTAGAAAGCGCAAATAGTTACTCAACTGGAGGCTAGTATCAACCATGCTGATGGCAGTCAGAAATGATTCATGGTGGTCGTCAAATGAAAACATTTTTATAAATCTTCAATTCTACAAATCAACCATTCGCCCTTGCATGGTGTATTGCTGTCATATATGGTCTAGAGTCCCTGTTTGCTTCGGGATTCTTGATAAGATCCAGAGACGGATATGCAATGTAATTGGCCCTGATCTGGCATCTCGTCTGCAGTTGATCTCTCACAGACGTGCCGTCGCCTCCCTCTGTCTTTTTTACAAATACTTTCATGGTAACTACTTCGAGGAGCTTCTTTTCGCTGGTTCCCAGACTTCATGAATTCAAGTGTTCTACGAGGCTTGCATCCCGCTCTCACCCTTTTCCTGCTGAAACTGTTAAATGTAGCCGTCTCTTCTACTCCAATAGCTTCTCGCACCTCTCGCCTGTGGAACTCCCTCCCCTATTCCTGATCTCCAACTATTCAAATGTAATGTCAATCGACATCTCCAGTTGCCTTGATCTATCAACTATCCTTCTCATCCTTTCCTCTATCACTCCTATCTGCTCTCGCTCCAAATCCTATGTAACACCTTTTTGTGTTAGTGGCTGCCCGCCTTGCTTGGGGTGAAATGCTTAGAAAATTGTTGTAGCATCAGCATAGATACTAATTTGAGAGCTGATGCTATCAGGAAGGTCTGTAATGAAAATTAAATCGAAATGGGACCAAAGATAGAGCCCTGGACTGTACGCTCTTTATACAGAATTTAAAAGAATTCACAGATAATTAAGAAAAAGAAATGTGTGGAGAGCCATGATCGGCTAAATCATGAATAATAATGGCATTAAATAATATATAATATATATATATATATATATATATATATATATATATATATATATATGATTTATTTTCTATTAAGTGGAAAACTATCTCATATCCTCTCTACATGAAAACGGTTTCTTAGTTCCTGAGTACAGCCATTGCTTGAAGCGTTTCATAATCGAGTTCATCTGTAAGCAGCACGGATGTAATTTTTCCGGACGGCGTCACACCTACGCTCTTTGGCAAAGATGTTACATTCATGAGTGCCAACAGCAACCTCCAATTTGTGTGTGAGCTTGTGCTTGAATTCCTGTGTTTTTGTGTAGCTGTTTGTTTGTGTATGTATTTCAGTGTGACGGACAATGAAAATTGCGTATGTTTTTTTATTTAGTTTTTTCCAGTGCCATCACAGTTTTACTTATACAACGAATAAGAATATGTAGAAAATGCCCGTGGTTACAAGCGCTTTCGGCTAATACTTTTATTATTACCAAGGTGTTCGTTCCTAGTATATTTTGCTTTTATATTATGAATAGTATTAACTCAAAATATATATATATATATATATATATATATATATATATATATATATATATATATATATATATATATATATCGACATATATGGGCGCGTGGGCCGTGGTTAGAATGTTCGGGTTCTGACTATGAGCCACGCGTTCGAATCTCACCATTGTCGATTTGTCAGGAAGGCGACTTCCTGATGTCATCCCACTGGAGGGGTCGATCGCAGCGTGTGGTACCTTTGGAAAGTGTCTAAAATTTTTCCACTGGTTTACTTGTGAGTGAAATTGGATAGGCGGAACCCTTGGGCCCGTCGATAGCTCTGCTAGCACCAAGTCCCAAGTCATCGTGGCCGAGTGATTGAGCGTACTGAACTTGTTCAGATTGCTGATCACACTATGAAACTGTAACTAAGGTCTGCTTAGCATAGTTGCAATTTATTCAACACCCACAGGCGGGCTCTGTGGGTGTTAAATAAACACAAATGCGTCTGAGCAAGCTTCTGCAACAGGGATTGGCTTTTTATGGAAACTTTAAATGATGAAATAATGGTTTTGAAAGAATTTTAATGTCAAAATATACTACAAAAACACAGACATCAAAAATCTTTTCACACAGGACAAAATTATTGTCCCCTCTTGGCTCCCTAATTACTTTTTCAATTGATATATATATATATATATATATATATATATATATATATGAATAAATATAGTCTTAAGGTGTGCTATATTTATGAGATAAAGTGCTCAATATCAGAGATAAAGCGTATGTAAATATAAAAATGAACATTGGAGTCAACAGGTGGCCTGACGATTGCGTTTAGATATGAAACAGCCTGTCGCCTCTAAGTGTTGTTATATATATATATATATATATATATATATATATATATATATATATATATATTATTTCTTTGTCTGTTTTATATATATATGTGGAACAGAGCATCTGATTTTTGACAATGATATAGGGACACCGTCTCTCCAGTGTCTTTATCTAGGTGAGTTGTCCCTTCAGGACATGTACGTTCATGGCTCCCACAGCTTCCTTTCTTTTGTAGATATTACCAATGTTTGTCTTTTAAATATTCCTGCCTTTCTTTGTCCTTACATAAGTTACTCGCAGTTTCACTCTGTTCAATATGTCTTCACTACGTCCTGCGTTGGACAAATTTTACAAACATTTTCATTTTATGTGTTTTAGAATTTCCAAATTTATCGTTTCGATCCTAAGTATAATTCTCTCTTTTGTTTTCTAAAAAAAGAAGTATTCTTAGAAAAACGTTCTTAAGTTTTGCCTAAAACATTTTTCATTTTGTCGGATGATTGGCGTCCAAACCAGTTAGGTGCGAAGAGTTTGGTTACCAACACATTATGAAAAAAATGATAACTATTAATAAATGGAAGTAGTCTTGACGAGTTGACGACCGTCTAATTAATGTTGCTGATTCAATAAAAACACCGTGGAGAAGGCAACATCATAACTATCTTACAATTCATGGCATTAAACGATCTATCAGGTATACGATGTAATCTGTGTGAATCACTGGTGTTTTTTTTTATGTCTCGATGAATCAGATGTTAAAATAAAATTATCTCTTCCTTACCGATGTCTTATCATGTGTTGAGTATTAAAGAAATAAGAACATCTTATTCAACATAAAAGAATTATCGCTTTTTTATTCTTTTATGCTTTGTCGAACGTGATAAATCACGTTTGACAAAGCAGAGAATGTTCACTTTCTCTCAATCTCCTTTCATTATTATATACAAGATATCACTTTATTAATTTTTTTTTTATTTTTCTAATGAATACTTACAGAGCATTTTATTTAATAATCTCCATTTCCCATGGTCGCCTGCAAAGCCGCCTTTTGGGATAACTATAATGGGTGTACATCGCTAATGTCCTTCTTGACATATATACCAACATGATCACAGCTTTGAATTCTGAAATTATTCGTCGCAATTCAATAAACAAATAATCAAATAAAACTGTAAAAAAAAACATCAAAGGATCTTCATAACTGAAAAAAATATAATAAATAACACCGAAATTATATTAAACAACAAATGAACAACGTCTTTTATTCCGGGGTGCTGGGGAGAAGACGTCAGGACGTACGAGTAACAATTTTACAAATGTAGGTAAATGGAAAGGGTTCATTGTTACACGTATGTGTATGACAATAAATATTCAGGCTTAATACACATAACCTTCCGACCATGTTGTTTTTCAAAGTTAAGCAACGCCGAGCCTGGGCAATACCTAGATGGGTGAGCACATGGGAATACTTGATACTGTAAGCTTAGATGTACGAGTGGTGTTAATGGACTGACCATATCATGATTAAACACCGGTTCCCGTAGGATCACCGAAGTTAAGCAACATCGAATCTGGTCAGTATCTAGATGGCTGACTGCTTGGGAATAGCAGCTGTTGTGAGGTTGGGTGTGTGAGTGATATAATAAGCTGCCGGCTTCATAACACTGAAACACCCGTTCACGTACGATCACCGAAGTTAAGCAACGTCCAGCCTAGTCAGTACCTAGATGGGTGGCCGTTTTGGAAAACCATCTGCTGTAAGGTTGAATGTGCGGGTGCTGTAACGGACAATGGCAATGAATTATTAATCGAGACGAGTTTCAATAATTTGGGGGTTCGATATATTAACTTAGGTGCAATAACCTTGGGAAAGTCATGGATTCACTATTTCTCGCCCAGGTATGTGTTAATTAGTAAGACTCGTATAACAAAATAATTATTATCGCAAATATATATAGATATATATATATATATATACGTGTTCCTAGGGTGTTCAATAGTATGCGATCAAGAGGGGAAATAATGGTATACTCTTTTCTATAACTTTTAGAATCCGGCCTCTTTCATCTTATTCTCCACTAAGACGCAGCAACTCTTCGATATATTGACGATCCCAATTCAACCTGACCACACGATTAATCCCTACCAGAAGTCGTCGGTAGATTAAAGAGTATAGGCCATACAACCAATTCCATTTACGAAAGAGAATCAAATCATAGTTTACCATTTCCCGATCTCAGGTCTTACGAAAATGCACAAACAACAAAAACCTAAATACACTTCTTCATTCATCAAAAGGATAAAAATAAAATAAATCAGATTGATAATAGGTTTCTATTTGAGAAATCTTAGAATTACTGACAGAGAAAGAAAAACTCCTCATATACCCGGGTTGTTTTCCTATATAATGCCAAACACTAAACTTAAATAATCAGGTTTGTAGGGATTATTATTTTCCGTCAACGTTTTCTAGTTTTCTCTTGTGGATTTGTTGGGCTTTGCGTTGACATTATGTAAGAAATATTCATGTCTCTTTCCTTTCATTCTCTACCAAGCTTAATATATTCACACTACGTACCACCACCAGAAATCAAGTGGGGAACTATGCCATTTCCTAGAATTTTAGAACCCGACACATTTCATTTCATTCCCCACCAAGACACAGCAATTTTCCGATACTTTGACGATGCCCTATCGATATGAACACGCGATTAATCCCTACCAGAATTCGTCGATAGATTAAAGAGGATAGGACGTGTAGCCAATTCCATTTACGAAAGAGAATCAAATAATAGATTACCATTTCTTGATCTCAGGTCTATCGAAAATCCACAAACAAGAAAAACGTAAATAGACTTCTATATGAATCAAAAATTTATATAAGAAAAAATCAGATTAATAATAGGTTTCTACTTAAGAGATCTTAGAATTCCTGACAGAGAAAGAAAAAATACCTTGAACATACTTTCAAACTCCTCCAATACCCGGGTTATTTTCTATATAATGCCAAATGAAAAGACGATAAAATGCACAAGAGAAAAATAGAACTATACACAGAAAATTAGGTATATAATTCTACTTATGATCTATAAAAACCACTATTAAAAATATCTCATTCAACAGTGATCTAGAATTCAGCACTATAACTTTTCCAGTGTGCGATGGATATATTTTTGTCTAAATATTATGTCCCGGAAAGGGATATATTTGATCGAAGTAGCTAAGTGGTTTTGGCTACTATAACCAAGTAGTACATGGTAGCAGTAATCGACTGGTATTCGTGGTAGTCGCAGATAATAGGTGTAGACCAATAGGATAGACAATGGCGTAGTCCAATGGGCGTCGTCGTAGACTTAAACTCTGACGTACCTACACGTCCGTCTGTATTTATGACGGACACCAGCCATTATATCACTAAATTATTCACAAAAGAAAATAACACTGACATCTTATTTTAACAGATATATTTATCAAACTTACACAAAAATGTCTTGCAATACTAATGAGAATTTTTTTTTTCAGTGAAATCATCATTGGCTCCAACCACGGCCATCAGACAACATCGGATTCTTCTGGACAATCTTCTTGTTTAAATTCGTGTAAGCTGCCATGATACTTTCCTTCGGGTCATCTTTGGTATTAGAAGGATTATTGTTGGTCTCTCGCTCAACGTCACTCCACACATAATAATCAAGAGCGGGTGCCGTCTGGAGAGTTAGGTGGGGAGATGTAAAGTGAGGCGTGGTCGCAGAAATTGTTTGACAGCCACGACTGGATACTCCTTTTTGTGTGTCATAGTGGGCAGTCCGATTTCCCAGACATACGGTATTCTAGCAGCCACCATCTTGACCTACGGAAGAACTTCCTTCTCAGGGCACTTGATGTAGGCCCCGTGTTGAGTCCCTCAACAATATATTTTGGGGATTCTTTTCTTATCCGAACGATCAGAGTGATTTTCCGATCTACCCCGGTTTCCGATTTAACCATCGCACACTGTATAAGAAGAAGAGGTACATTTTATTTTAATCATTTTAATCCGATCAAAGCAGTAATGCCAGGAAAACACAAGGCGTTACTGATTGTGAGGGAATAAAAAAAAAAGAGAATCATTACTAAGGAACGAGAAGGGTAAAAGGACAGGAATTATGAAGACACTAAATAACGATTGACATTGCATTTATTTTTTTGAAGATCCAAGCTCGCTGAAAGGTATGAAGCCGAAGATAGTTACACAAGCGAGAAGTAAGAGTGAAGAAACTGTTAGCATGGAACTTGCGGCTACATCGAGATAATTCAACTGTAAATTGATGAGAACTATTTTGCTTATATAGTACTGCGCTTAAATTCATAAAGTCTAGCGGAAAGTTCATTAGAACAATTATCTTGAAAATATTTATAGAAAAGACCCAAGAAAGTTACATTAATGCGCTGGGAAAATGATTGCAGGCGACTAAATTAGCACCAAACGAAATGACAACACCGCAGAGGCAGAAAATATTTCTGATTATATATATATATATATATATATATATATCTGTGTGTGTGCAAATTTATATTCTTGGCTGATACGTTCATGTTTGATATAAAAGAAATATATTACCCACTGCTTGTAAGTATGTGCGACATCAAATTGATCATCTGGTAGTTTTGTCTGGCTATTGTAAAGATAAGCGCATGTCAGTAATCTATTGAGATATGCTGTCGGCGTTCTTTTGTCGCCCCCAGGTGGATCGGACTATAACATTTTTTTATTAAACTGGGACGCCCGTTATTGGTTTGTATTTATAAAATTGAATTATGACATTTTTTTCCTGTTTAAAACGGAACTCACGTATGGAGTCTCTTACACAATGACGTGCTTACCTCAGTTTTCAAAAATCAGAGTGTACGCATCCAGAAAAACATTCGCGACAGAATCATTACACTAATCAATTATCGAATAACTGTTTTTTTTACTTTAGTCATAGCTTAGCAACAGACAATTAGAAAGAACGCCATATTCTAGAAGAAATATACTTTTTTCTTCTTATTGGAATAACACAATTTAAATTTTTTGCAAATAGTCAAAGATGCATTCCAAAAGTTAAAAAGATTAATAAATAACAGAAAAAACATCGTTATAAACAGAGAAAAGATTACTGATCTGTTACATGATATCTGTCCTTACATAACGCGGTGAATGCTGAACAATATCCTCACAAATTAAGAAGAGACGAAGCAACATAAATATGATTCTGTAGAAGGTTGCCGAGGATTCATGATATGAGCAACGACAAAGTTTTAGAGAAAATGGGAATTTATACTTAACATCAGGAAGAGACAGCTGAAATTTCTAAGACACAAAATAAAGATGGAGGACTTTGTAATTCTGATACTCAAAAGACAGATTGAAGGCAAGAAAGAAAGAGGAATACGGTGCATAATATACTTTGTGAGCTTCTGTAAATGAATGGCAGAATGGGGTTTATACGGTTTTCTGAACAGCTCCTGAGGGCAGAAACATTTGTGGAGCGCCATGTTCGCCAACGTCTTAACGGGACACGGCACATATAGAAGAAGGCTACGTACGCTAAGCTTAGTCAATATAATGATGAAATTTGGTGGATCAGTTATCAGTGATCAAATTCTTACTACGGTGTAGTGAATTCGACCCTCACATTAGAATATCTACGCTGACGATTCAACAATAGATACGCACGCCTCAAGATGACCAGAGATTGGCAGCTGATCTTCCCTCTAATCTAACACAAACATCGGAGTGGAAGGAAAACTGACTGGTCAAATTCAATTCCTTGAAAACCAAACCAGTGTCGATCTTCACCGATCGTACCTAAAACTATTACCAATCACGATGAGGGAGTATTGTCTCATGAGTCCTGTGACGTCTGCCCCCATTAAGACCAGCATAACCTAGGCGTCAGGTGGAAATCGCACATATGATCTGATGTAATGAATAGGCATACACCTGGGTTTCTGGTATGGTCCGTTTCCTTGTACCACTGTGATATTCCAAGGTAGAACCAATAAAGAGGAACTCGAACACGGACATGGAAGAACACAGATATATTGCAAACATGAATATATACAGAGAAGTAGAAAATGTTAGTATGAACAATCAGGTTTAGTAGTAATTGTCTGAACGCGACTCTGTTTCGGACTTCCTCTGACTCGACTGACTGACTCCTGACAGACTTCAGACAGAACTCCAGACTTCAGACAGAACTCCAGACTTCAGACTGAACTCCAGACTTCAGACAGAACTCCAGACTTCAGACTGAACTCCAGACTTCAGACAGAACTCCAGACTTCAGACTGAACTCCAGACTTCAGACTGAACTCAGACTTCAGACAGAACTCCAGACTTCAGACAGAACTCCAACTTCAGACTGAACTCCAGACTTCAGACAGAACTCCAGACTTCAGACTGAACTCCAGACTTCAGACAGAACTCCAGACTTCAGACAGAACTCAAGACTTCAGACTGAACTCCAGACTTCAGACAGAACTCAAGACTTCAGACAGAACTCCAGACTTCAGACAGAACTCCAGACTTCAGACTGAACTCCAGACTTCAGACAGAACTCCAGACTTCAGACAGAACTCCAGACTTCATACTGAACTCCAGACTTCAGACTGAACTCCAGACTTCAGACTGAACTCCAGACTTCAGACTGAACTTCAGACATCAGACAGAACTCCAGACTTCAGACTGAACTCCAGACTTCAGACAGAACTCCAGACTTCAGACTGAACTCAGACTT